AAAATGCATTAGATCAATAGTAGTTCCCTTGACAGCTTATGTAAATACCACACTGAACCTCTCATTAGGTCATAGCAGAAATGCAACAACTCTGATCATAAAATAAGTCCCTGAGAACATAAGGGTTGGTGCATACAGTTCCTGAGATTCAAGTCTTTTGGGCTTGATTATAAAACAACATATTTATACTGTTATTTCAAATGACACAAAGTGAACCTGCATTAATAATATCAGTATGTTTGTGTGTCGAATAGAGAGGGGATTAATTATTGTGACTCTTTGTGTTTTTCTCTGGAGCAGGGAGCCTGGCTACTGTCTATAATAGGAAGAGAAAAACAACAGAGGCTAGGCTGCTCATTTCTGGAAGCATTTTAATTGCTAGAATCCGGTGCCAAGCTAAAAATGCCTCCTCTGGCCTTCAGCATGAGAAAATAAAAGACGTTGCTCTCTGCAACACCTCAAAATTAGTGCCGCAGATTACTGTAAATATATGGGACATACATAAAAGTTGCTGTTGTAGGAAGTGGAAGTCTGCCTTTGATGCACATCTGAGACCAAGCTTTACAAACGTTTCCCTGCCCAAATCAAATCATCAGATGAAAAAAGAAGAAATGACCTCGGTGTAGGTTTCAGAACGTCAAGCTGTGATTCCACTGATATTCTCCTGTGCCTTTATGTAAAAATATTTTCCACTGATGGTCTGAAGCACCAGTAGTTTCTAAGGCTGCAGCTTTGACCGTCTGTATCACAGTGGGTGTGTGACTGTGAAACGCTAAGTAACTTCCTCAGAGGGAGTTTCCCTCTTCAAAGGTGGAAAATGGGATGTAAACAGTCCCAGCTCAGTGGACGGCACAAAATAAATAAAGTTAAATCTAACACGATGTGAAGAACCCATGCCTCCCATGTATCACTTCTAATCATGTAAACCATCAGCTCTCTTCCATGGCTGTTGCAGTTTTACACTCGTCCTCCCCCTAACTCCACTTACTTTTCTTCTGTCTTCTCTATATTCTCTCTTCCTCTGTGTCCACTTCTACAGGGACTTTATGGGACTCTGTGAAAAACAGACTTTAAACTGAGTCTCATAATCCAGAGGGCTTCATCTGATGAGTTCTGGCTACTAAGTTTCATCCATCTTTTTTCTAATGACAGTTAAATCTGTGCAAATTACTGAATGATTCCCTGTAGGAGGCACATGCTCTGAAAGTTAACAAGTTAAAGTAAGGAAAAGGGAAAATGAAAAAGTTACCTATCTCACATTGGGAGTGCTGGATTGAGGGAAATATTGTAACATGTGGGTGATTACAAATATTCAGTGTTTCACCAGCCAAAGTGTTGTGATATCAAAGATCCCAGACTTTCTAATAGCTCCTTTCCCATATCCTCTCTTCGCTATTGTTTTTGGCTCTGAAATTCCAGCTTAAAAGCAAAACCATACAACTGTCACCCTACTGGGCTGAATGATCAAGTGTACTATATAACATCCACTATCTACTGCAGGATCAGAATACTGGCAACTGAGGCTGTTCTGTCATGCTTTACTCCTTCCAGTGCTGAGTTTTTCCCAAAACTACTCCTTTCACGAGCCATAGTAAACCATCACAAATCATGAATGGTCTCAGGATTTGTCATGGTTTCTATTTGCTGGCTTTGTGTTGATGCTTTTGTGAGCATTCTCATGTGAAAGACTATCATCATGCTTTATGAAATGCTTGTTATTCCAAAGTTCCAATTTATTCATATTGTTTAGTCGTTATGAAAATACTGCAAAGCCACTGAAATCCATCTATCGCCTTAAAATATCTATTTAAAATGCCTCATTAACCTCTCAGGCAGATAAAAGGTCTGATGTTTGTTAGATAATGCTTTCAGACAAATAGTGTCTTAGTATTTACAACCACAGGCAGATGTGCTGTTTAGCATAAATGAGAAATGGCCTGGTTATCAGAGACCACATCTAATAATGTAACAAGATACATTTACAAGTAGGCCTATTATATTTAGTAAGGGTGTATAGTATTATGGATCTCTAGAGAAATGACAAACTGTAGCTGTGAACTCAAATATTATAAATCAACACAAAGAAGAAGCTAAATGGCAAAATAGCAATGTAAATAAAACAATGTTTTCCATTTTGTTGTTGACAACACAGTAAAAAAAATAGTCCTATATATGCCCAGCTTTCACGATGTGCGGGTGAGTAAAATCGTTTAAAATGAGGGGTGACAGCGGTTTTCAATGCCACTGTGAAGAAAGTCCCACAAATGTCCACAAGGGTCCAGCGTTTATTTCATAAGAAATATCTTTATTTTCATGGAGTGTTCCCTTCTCCTGCCTGCATACACTGAGCCAGCAGGAGTGCCTTGATTAATCCCTCATGAATTTTGAACACTTGATTTTAGTTATTAAAAAAACATCTAATGCCAAAGGTGATGTCATGAATCAGTCACTTGACAACATCTCCAGAGATAAAACTAAATCTTTGCTGTTGTACCAGGGAGGCTGCAGTAATCTTGAAGATACCAATATAAGCAAAACCTTTTGCAAAGCAAAATATCACCAGAAGCAAGTGATTTTTTTTCCCCTGTATTTAGGGCAAAGTGACCAGTTACCAGATTTATGAGAGCAGATGCTTATACATCATCCTGATTAATGATACTATTTTCTAAGCAGAGTGAATGAAACCAACAGAACCTTTCACACCTTGTTAAAAGTATGTTGACCTTCTGACTAGTGTGATAAAAAAATCTTTATTTTCCATCATTCAAATGAAAAATTCCTTGAACTCAAAATTACAGTGAGCTCGCCGAGATCCTCTTGACATTTTGATGCTAGAATAACATATTTCATTACATTTCAAAGATTTTATCCATTTCCCAAAAGTGGAAAACATTCCCTTCAGGAGGACATTTGTTTACCATCACCATCCATCAAGTAGTGTAGTCATAAAAAAAATATCATGCTTCAAATCTTTGTATGAACAGTGTAGGAAGCCTAGTGCATGTGTATCACAATATCAGTGATGCCAAATGTGTGAATCAAAACAATATATCTAAACGTGGATTATATCTTTATTTACATTTCTTGAGACCGTAGAGCTATACACACAAACACAATATTAATCACAGCTACAAGTTACCATATAAACAAAGGATTGGCCAGCTAGTACCCATTCTAGGGCACCTCTCCAATAAAGCATAACAACACAGTAACCACATCACCCGCTGAGAACCTTGGTTTCTACAAAATGGGAGTTTCTACATCCCCATCTTCATCTGGGCTGCTACTCTGGCTGCAGCAATGCACAGATGATTTAGATGTAGGCACCGGAGGAGGGGGCTTGTACAGCACTTCACCACAACCACTTCCAGCTGTTTTAAATGCACAGAAGTCCCTAGAGCCCAAAGGTCCACCATTACCTTTCCCTAGACCCATGCAGCTCAGCTTCAGGGCACCACAATCACTACCAGGTGAGATTCCCTCTGTCTTCCTGCCCCCCCCACCCCACCCCACCCAATCAAGATTGTGCCCTGTCTGATCTGTTGTCAGTTCTCCAGGGGTTGGCACACTGTACAACATGACAGCAGAACCCAATCACAACTTAACCCCATCTATCAACACAGGATGGGGAGAAGAATCATAGATGAATCTCTGAAGTGGAAACAGAACAGTGTTACTTGCTTCAAAAACACAATTTTGTATGTAGCCTCCTATCATTACAGCAGGCCCTTAAAAGCCCTGCCAGGGCATCTGGCTTATGTTTGGACCTGGAACTGGATCTGTTTGATCCCTGTGAGAGCACAGGCCAAGGCACACTGTACAAGTCAAATTAAAACTTACCAACTAGTTAACTAAAAACATAAAAGCATACACACACACACACACACACACACACACACACACACACACCCTTCACGGACCATAAAACATGTCTTATAGTGTTAGTAGATCTGGTATTTGTGGCTCATAGTGGCAAGCAGAGGCAATTGCACAAAAACCTTAACAGCGGTGGCATTTCCAACCTTTTAAAAGCAAATAAAGAACTTGTAATAAAATAAGTTAACAAGCATTTTCAAAATGGTTGTCTCGTCCTTCATTGATTATTAGAGAAATTAAAACAATAATAAAAAAAAGGCCAAATGTCTTAATATTTGATTGGCAATATAATAGTGGTATGACACGAAGTCCGACTGAGATTAAAGCTAATTGCACCAATGGTTACTCCCTCTGTAATCCATTTCACAACGGGGGGAACATGAATCAACTTCACAATTAAATGCACACATTGTTACTAAAGCATCCTTACTGTTGTGGGTGAGTCTAGACATGCAGTCCGTCTTACAAGACTCTGTATATGTCCTCTCCTTAACACAAAGTCAGAGTTGGCACTGTTGAGATAGTTCAGCAAATAAGACACTCTTGGGCAGTGATACAACATGACAGCTGGCTCTCTGGCATTGTTTCTGGAGAAGGTTTTCAGGATAATTATAGAACCGGAGCCACAAGAAAGTCAAACTGAATTTGTTTTTTAGCACTGCGGATTACTGGAGCTACCAGTGTCAAGACACATAGTGCAGTTGTATGACGCCAAATGGGAAAAGGGTGAGACATTCAATGAAACAAGAGGAGGGGAACCGAACGGGGGGGGGGGGATGGTAGATGGTATTACACTCTAGCGCTATGCCTATAAACTGATTGAATTCAATCACTTCACACAGTTTTGAATCACTTCTACAAGCAAACAGCTGCAGGTTTGCAACAAAAATAAATAAACTGCTGGAGTTAAATCTCTGTTACCATTGCATCAGAACATCACACCACACTACAACAAGCGTGAGTCACCAGGAAGGATATACCTGTATAGTCACTTTAAAAACCTCTTATTGTTTGTGAGAGTAGGTGCCCGGACCTGTTTGTGTAGCAGTTATTAGGAGAGCTGGCAGGAACACATCGTCAATTTCAGATGATGGAGGAATCCCTGTAGGTTATATGAATGATGCTTCCAATTTAGCATGTTTGTCAAGCAGCTTCGGGGTGGCCTGCAGCTGACATTTTCAGTTAGTGAGCTTTTCTACTAACTGGACATGATGCACAGACAAAAAAATAAAATAAAATCAACTAATCTTCTGTGGCTTGGTTTCCATTTAAAAACTCAGTTGTGATTTGCAACAACCTTTTAGTGTGTAGCCAGCTTAAGGTGCACTAAAATGAACTAGCAGACAAACTATGCGATATTCAGCATTTATAAACATTATCTTTCTTCCCCTCCTTTAAATTCTTTCATTACTGCCAGTACTGCTTCAGTTCTCTTCATACAAAACTTTAAAACATATAAAAACATGCTAAAGCTCCATTAAGAAATTTTTTGGATATCAACATAAAAAAAGGTGCTAGTCCTGCCAAGCACACTGAAAGTCATTAGCAAGAGCTTCCTGTGCCAGATCACTACATTTTGCAGACTCTCACTGATGCATTATATAAAACTGTGGACATCTGTTACCTGCAGCCGCAGAGCTTCATTTAAAACGTGGCTGGTAAAGTAACAAACTTCTATCAATCCAAAAAGAGTCAGTTAGTGGGCTAATACAGGTATAAGTGAATATCATAAGGACATACATCAGGTGGCCAGAAAAAAAAAAAAAAGACTTAACTAGCCTGTGTTTCTGTTGTGTTATTTGCTTGCTAGCAAGCACCTAGTAAAGCACCAGTATTTGGTAGCTTTGATGTGCTGGGTTTGTAGTGTTTTTTTTGTTGTTGTTTGTTTGGTTTTTTGCTTAATGCAGCTTTAAGCAAATACACTGACATCATGATGTCTTAAAAGCAATATGCTCCTCTGTCTCTTACAGGAGAAAAGCAGGTCATCACATCCTCTTTGAGACAGGGCTCAGGCACCTGGTGATGGGATGCAGCCCCTTCAGTCAGTCCAGTGGTTGGGGAATGGGATAGGGGTGGGGGGGTGAGTAGTTGACAAAGAGGGAGCTGGGGAGGCAACAAGCTACAGACCAGATCTGGAGGTTTCCTCCTTTCAAACAAGAATACGAAGGGCTGGTAGCACGCCAGAACTTATACTGACACTCCAAAAACTGAACATTTCATACTTACAGAACTACTCACGTAACATCAGGAGCCTGCAGCAGGCAACCTACAGAGTTAGGACTGCAGTTGACTCAATTATTCCCTAATCTAAACATGGTCGGCTGCACAATCAAAGTTGAAGCCCTTGGGTTAAACCCCATCACACAGGTTTGGGGTATGTGTGCTGCAGCCTCTGTTCCCCAGTGTCAGCCCCTATCACACAGGGCTTGGTCTATGGTGATAGTTGTAATGGTTGCCGTGCTCAGAGTCTGCAATCTGCAGGCTGGGTTTCCTCTCTGGCTCTTCGCCATCAGCTGCGTCTGGTCTTGTGCAACGTGGAGGTCGCTTCTTAAAGAAGTCTGACACATAGCGTACCTGCAGAGGAGAAGAAGGGCGGTAAGCTTTGGTCACTTATGAGATATTTTTCCCACAGAGTTTGTGCAAGTGTAAAGGGATACGGAAGAAAGCCTGGAAACTGTGATTACATATGTCTGAACAGCTCTGTGCACAGCTGTTAAGTGACACACTAACACTTAGACACATCTGAAAGGAACACACACAGAGTAGGCATGACCCCTGTAGGCCGCACTGTGCCCAGGAGGGTCTCTAATTGCACACCACACTGGGAAGGCCAAAGGCACGGGCTCACTTCCCAATTAATCATACATGGACCCAGATCCACACACACACACACACACACACAAAAACACACTACCACTCAGAATTTCCACAGGGTGGTGCTGACAGTGGTTCAATCAAAACAGGGAAGTGGATAAACAATAAAGAAATGAGACACTGCCAGTGTGAGTGTGTGGGATCGTATCAAGTCACACTTCATTCATACTTGTTGATATTCCAATTTTTACTGCAAGAATAAAATTAAGCAGAAATATGGATTCATCAGCAGGTGTCAATCCTAAGATCAAACCAGTCCCGCCCATATTTGCTTTGCCTATAGTAAGAAACCACAAATCTAAGATGTCAGGTAAAAAAGAAATTGGAAAGCTCATTACGTAAGCATGATTTCTTGAGATGCATGTTTTTAGATAAGAACTGATGTCAATACTATTTTCAGTATAAAATACCAAAGCTGAGTATTGTACACTGTACAATGTACACTGAGTTTCTTAGTGTTTAGAGTAGCTCAGTGACTCGACACCTTATGAGCATCATTTGGTGGAAGTACTGACTGTCCTATATCACAGAAGCATCATGTAGAAACTGTTACATTTTGCAGTGTTTTGACAAAACAGAATGACAGAAATTGTCTTGAAGACTCACAGTGACTATAGCAACAAGTGCTCCCTGCAGCAGCCCCGCCAGCACGTCGCTCCAGTGGTGCTTGTAATCGGAGACTCGGGTGTAACCCACATACACCGCGAAGGCCACCAGGAAGAACTGGATAGTGGGTCGCAAAAGTCTGGCCCACTTAGCCGCCAATCTTGCCTGAACATAAAGCTGAAGGGGGACATATAATGGAAGAAGAGCAGAGGGTGGTGGGGGGTTGAGGGGAGACAGGCAAGAAAAGAGAGAGATCAGGCAAAAATAATTATGTAGACATGTCTTTCTGATTTTACTTGCTATTACGTTGAAAAGATATCATGAGTGGTTTTGGTTCCCAAAAGGTTATACCACCAAAGTTAGGATAATGCTATTTGATGTCTAGACCAACATCTATTGTATCTAACTGTACTATAATTTGCTGAGAAAAGCAGCAGTCGAATGTTTGTTTTATAGAAGTCATCTTTATAGTTGCTTTATATGCACAGCTCAGCGTCCTATCAGGTTTCAGGGCCGATGGGATCTGATTCCAAACACCAATTACAAAATGTCTATTATTTACTTAGAACATGCGTTTGCGTCACGCCACAGCAAAAACAGTGGGTGAATTGCATGAAATTGAATTTAACTGTAAAAAGATGAAATAGAACCCCCTTTTTACTGGAAAGCAGCAGACGCCATAACATTATGAATCTGGAGACAGTACAGAATTGGCATCACGCTACAGCCCCAAACACACAGCCACACTATGCACTGAATTCTGCAGGACACAGGCTGGGTATCACATACTATCTGTCTCTGTTTGCAGTATTTGCCTGGCAAAGCAGAGTGCAAACTGAAGCACTGACTGGAACAGACACTAGCTGGAGATGGCCTGGCTTTCCTTTCTATTTTTTTTTTTTTTTTTTTTTTTTTTAACTGAAAAACATTACTTTGCTTGGCCTCCTAAAACTTGCTGTCTAGCACTGGTAGCACTGGTGCCTGGCTTTTGATACAAAGATGAGGCCAAGTGTAATGAACTGGATAGCCCTGGAGGACAGAACACAGTGCATGCTTTGCTTTCATCACTGCTGGGAGAATGGCAACAGAGGCCTCCAAATTCTTTCTCAGTATCCACATTCTTTCTCTGAACCCTGGCCATGTCCTTTTATGTCCCCAGGCAAAAACTGGGCTTAGGAGCCTTTTCTCCTCCTGAACAATTAGCCCTCAAGAATGGATCCAAATGCATAAGCTGGTTGTGAGATGAGCCCATCTGGTGATTGTTAGCGAGTCGGATTCTCACAGATATTTGCCTGATCATATTTCCATATTTACTGGAGGTACATATATATAGTGTTTCACAACTTTTAGTGAAGTCTTAAACATAATTACTGTACTTACTGCTAGGAAGAGCATGCAGTACATTCCAAAAGAGGAGTGACCAGAATAGAAGGACAACCTGGAAAAGACAATGAATCATATGAAAGTTTACACCGTGGCAGCTTGTTAGCATCACTATTATATAAAATGTGTTGGAATTTAATTCCATCAAACAGTACTGAGCCAGGTCTCACTTTCTCTTTTCCAATGTTAGGGCTGTAATGAGTATCAATTTCATTGTTGTATTAATTTCAACATATTTCCCTCTCTAAGCACCAACTGTAATCCCCAGTTTGTCTCCCCCTACCTTGACTCAGTGACGTCCTGAGGATTGCCAGTGCAGTTGATCTTCTGCATGTATCCCTTGCAGAACTCAGGAAGACATACGGCCATGAAGTTGGGTCTTGGGCGGCCGATGGTGAACTTGGCAAGGTCGGTCAGTGACTGGCTGACAAATGCTCCAAACAAGAAGGTACCCACTACTTTATAGAGCGCAGCTACATACTGGTTGAAGTCTGAATTAGAGTAAATTCTCTTGCTGTAGACCAGATAAGCCTCTCCGGAGGAGATCTGAGGGATGGGAAAACGAGGAAAAGAGTTTTTGGTTTCATTTTTAAAAGTTTTCTCATTATTAGAAGGAAATTACTTTTCCTCCCTATACATTCATGCTTTGCCCAGCTCCAAAGGCAATTTAGTAATGGACCAACACACAGGATTTTGTTTAATGTCCTGTAAACGTTCCATAATTTTGGATTTTAATGAAGCGAGAAGCATGGGCGGAGCCAAGGGGTGGCCAGGGTTGGTACCAGCCACCCGCAGAATCTGAATGGCCACCCCTGCCAGAGTCAAAATCTGATGCTTGGCAGTATTACTGAAAGTAAAACGATGACAAATTGTTGCCTCAGCTACAACTAACATAATTTTGGTGCTTCATAATTGATATTATCCAAATTAGTTTTACTTAATATCATACATGCAGCATGATATTTGCATTCATTTCTCCAAATGTGTTGTTCTAGAGCACTTGGCATGATTTGCCTCAGTGGGGGGTGGAACCAGTGTGCCACAGTGATGTTTCTGGCCAAGAGTACATAAGGAGTGCAGCCAAAAATAGCTGAAAATGGCACTGTGTGTATCTCATTTGTACACACGCACACAAAATAAATCAACAGCCAGAGAGATAAATATTTCATAGAACTATGGGTTTAATTGTCTTTACACCTCTCCGAGTCTGCACCTCAGCCTGGCCACCCCATCCAAAATTTTCTAGATGCGCCCCTGATGTAAAGAAATAAAACTTTATCTGCCAAGAGAGGAGAGATTGATGTTTTGGGTCAAACTTACAATGACAACAGTGCAGGTGATGGTGACAGCTGCCATCATGCTATGGGTGATGGTGTCTGGTTTTATCGGGTACATGATGCTCTCATCATCACAGTAAACCCCCCTTTGATATGGCTTGTACAGGATGTTCAAAATGATGAAGGGCAGTGCCGCTGTAATGAAAACAAAAGTCAAGGATTACAGTCTGACAAGGAGGAGTTAGAATATTAGCTGTATTTAGAGAAGCAGTGCTTTTAGAGACGTTAGAGGAATGTGCTGGTGCGTGACTGGCATGATCATGACTGGGCAGACCGACCAACAACTGTGTGGAACCAAGTTAATGGACTTCAGAATCTGAGAAAAATGTTTTGGAATAACACATTTGTCACTGTTTCTATATGTTTTCAGACATGACATCATCCAAGTTGGAAAGTGAAAATATTTCTCTAAGGACAACTAAATTGTTTTCTCCCTCCATCATAACTTGAAGGTGTAAAATCACAACAGGCACAAGGACAAAAAAGAACATCTGGTAGTTAAATGTCAGGGTAGAAATGCACAGCAAGGAATAACATAAATAGAGGAAAACAGTATTTACATACACAGTCAGGTGGCATATGTAAAATCACACATCACACACATACTCGGTCGACTCAGAAGTACATAAACACTTACAAGAGGTTTCTTAAATTAAACAAATCACTGCAGTCTCAACGCACATGGGTCTTTTGAATGATGTGGCTGTGTGCAAAAATAAGACCAAATATAGCTGCTCAAGGCTCCCGAGTGCACGAGTGATGTCCTTGAGATGCTGGGAAACATTCATCTCCGCTATACTCACTCACTCTTCCTTCTCTCTCACTCACTCACTCACTCTTCCTTCTCACTCACTCACTCACTCACTCACTCTTCCTTCTCACTCACTCACTCACTCACTCACTCTTCCTTCTCACTCACTCACTCACTCACTCACTCTTCCTTCTCACTCACTCACTCACTCACTCACTCTTCCTTCTCACTCACTCACTCACTCACTCACTCTTCCTTCTCACTCACTCACTCACTCACTCACTCTTCCTTCTCACTCACTCACTCACTCACTCACTCTTCCTTCTCACTCACTCACTCACTCACTCACTCTTCCTTCTCACTCACTCACTCACTCACACACACACACACACACACACACGGTGTACAGTCATATTACAAGGCTGTAATCCAAAACTTCTATCTTACTGCCCTGGTTCAAGGCTATAATAGGGAGTGTTTCATAAGAAAGAGATATGGGGTAGAGTACGACTCTAGACAGATACAGTATGTGGGAGAAAGACATCATTTGCACAATTACAGTACAAAGCCAGAGGCGATTCTTCCAGCCTTAAACTATTTGGAGCTGAGCAGTGAGCGCATGGACCAAGATAATTAGCTGATAATAAATGATCAAATTTAGAGCAGAAAAACCATTATTAGTTATCGCCAATTAATCTGCCAGTCATTTTCTTTATTATCCATTTCCAAGATGACATTTTCAAATGTCTCATTCTGTCTGAGCAACAAACTAAAGATGTTCAGTTTTCTGTCATAAAGGACTAAAAACTGAAAATATTTATATTGAAGCAAGTCAAAGCAAGTGGATTTAAATGACAGAGGCCTAAAACTTCTTAATAAAATTAGCAACCGTCGTCACAGGAACATCAAGCTGTTGTGGCCTTTACCTTGACCACTTTATTTTTTTTTAATCTCCTCAGACAACTCCCTTCTTCTTTTGTTCATTGTGGACATCCAGTGATAAACAGCACAATGAGCACTTTGATAACTGATAAGAGTGAAGACACCTGTGATGCTAATTTAAGACAACAGCTTGCTTGAAGCACCACTACAGTACCCTTATTTATCGCTTCTGAAGTGTACCAATAATTTTGTCATAGCTGTTTCAGGTCTTTGGAGAATATACCAAAAGCTTTCTGCAGGTTCTTTGTTTTATTCTCTGCCAAATCCAAGGCAGGTACAGTACACATAGAAAAAAATGTTTCCAGGAAGAACAGGGCATTGCTCACTGAGGCATAACCGCACACACACTTCTAACCACGTCCGTGAATCCAAGCTTACATAAAATGAGGGCGGACATTGTTTAATAACATTCCAACTGCACACATGTCCATCACCCTGTAAAGACAGAGCTGTGTTGGCACAAAAAGAAAGGAAGGGCAGTAGTATAGCAGAAGCTTTGTGTTGGGCAGAGAATAAACAATAGCATACTATAAACTGAACACACCATCACACACGGGCTCCTGTAACCCGACTTTGGATGAGCTAGATCGGACTAGACAAACAAGGAAGGAAAACACACCAACTGAGATACCAGTTGCCTACATCACAGTAGCTATAAGCTTCATATAACATAAAAAAAAAACTAAGGAGAAATCACAACTACAACATTTCAACATCAGCTGAAGGCGGGTCTAAACATATTTACACAGTGCACAAAACAAAACCAGTGGGTGAAATGCAGACTGTAAGCATCAGCCAATGAACTATAGCTTCAGCCCACACATGTGACAGCTATACTTTTTAAACTCATTTTTAATAAGTGTGAATAAATTGCAGCAGCCTACACACAATGCACCTTTGGCCCTTCTCACAGAAATGAGCAGCAGCAGCTGGATGACACCTGTCCCTTTTGTGGCAGCTTCCCACCAACCACCAGATCTACCAGCCATGTCACAACAAGGTGAACCATGGGTGTAAAGCCAGCTCTTTGCACCAGCAAAGTCCTGTTGTTTACAGCTCTCTTGTATTTAAACAACAACCTGCCTCAGGCACCTCATGAGAGCACCACAATATCGCTGTGGCTTTTGAGGGCAACCATGGCAGCTTCTGCGTCTGTACCCTGCTTCCAGCTGGCAAACAGGGCAGAATGCGAAGAAACCGCTGCTGTTGGCTTACTTTTCCTACTACTCCTGGTTGCTGATGAGTCACTGGACAGTGATACTGGGTGGATTCTATTATGGAGTTATTATTGTGACTTTTAAAAGATTCAGATAATGTCTATGACTATCTTTCTACAATCTCTTGGTTTTAAAAATATATATAACTCTAACAAATTAATAAAAAAAGAAACAGATTCTCAGTGCAGTTTCTTCCAGTGGCCAAACTGGTGTTAAGTATTTTCACAATATTATTTTAAATGCTTCCAGACTCCTTATACATCTAGTGTGGATGTGACTGAAATTTACACAGCATGTCAAATGCATTATTTTACTTGAAAACATAATATAATCAGGGTGTTAGCACTGACAGACATGAAAAATAAAATAAAACCCTTTGTGGAGTAGGGGTTTAGAGTGTGCTGTCATTACAGTCGAGGGAAATGCGGGGGGCCGGGGGGGTTGGACATTGTGACATAAAATCTGTTTCCCCTCGATATATTTCATTAGCCAAAACCAACTTTTTAAGCAGCTTGGAATGTTCACACTTTGTATGAAACTAAAAACACTGGAATTGCAATCAAAGCAAAGGAAAGACTTGTTTGACAGAATACCAACATATTCTAAGTGTATATATTACAACAGGTTTTATAAAGGTTATGCAAGATTGGCCTGGTCAAAGTGTTGGGGAATGTTTATTTACTTAATACAACATAGTAAGTGTCACTCTAGACCAACATTTCTGTACTGGAGTCAGATATATTACAACTCCAAACTGTTAAATAAAGCTTTAAACACTTGCCAGTGTGGGGCCATTAATCACTACAGAGCTGGAGAAAGACGAAGTGAAAACGTCAAAGAAAAGTGCCAACAGCTAATGAAATCAGCAACATTAAATTCTAAAGTATCATACAGTATGCAGTTATCTGTTTAGCAATATGCTAAAGGTTTTTTTTGTACTAAATTCTCCTAACCAAACATGGATTTTGCCAGTGTGCCAAACAGCACAGACCAGGGTGCCTGGTCTTATATAACCCTCCCTTGGCTTGTAATAAAGTGTGAATCATTTCTATATTCATAAATGAAGCACTAATTCAGCTGCCTTCATACTTTGTTAGCCATAAATCACAAGTTTGGATGAAAATAAAAGTTCTTAAATAAAATGATGTAAAGTGTGTGTTCTGCCGTCACAGGCAGAACATATGCTGCATCCTTAGGCGTGTGTCCTAAGAGCAGCGCAGATCTCCTAGAAACAAACCAGCCACTCTCTCAAAAAGCAGACACAGACAGCTTACAGGCAAAAATAGATGCAACTGCAGTCAAAATAGGTCTCCAGCACATAACAAGACAACCCCACAACCCAAACTGACACCATTCCAGACCTGCCTCCACTAAAAGACCAAGCAGCGCCTCTTGTCTGAGCCAAAGTCAGAGACATCTTTGGCAGGAGAAAATCCAAAAGAACACATACATGGAGGAAAGGTACTTATTAAGGATACAGGAGGACCTTCTTTCTAGACACCTGCTTCTTGGTAATGGAGGGACAGAAAACACTATATTTGGAGCGTAACCAGGAGTCTAATGTGCAGCTGCCAGTCAGAAAGCTCCAGCCTGAGCCCCTAATGGGAGCCTGTTTGAAGCTGCAGGGCTCTAGCTTTCTTGTCTGAGATTAAGGAAGGGCAATTTTAGAGGCTTTGGTCCAATTTCAGATAGTTTAAGGCCTCTCATTTACCTGGCTGCAGAACAGCCTTTTATCTGCCTTGGCACCTCTGTGTCTCTCCCTGCTGAAAATAGATATCAGTGCAACAAAGAGCTGAGTAACTGGCAATGACTGCATGTCAAGATGATCTGCAGAAAATGTCAGAGGAGCATCACAAAGGATTTTATCATAAATTGTAGCCCCACTGACAAACAAAGATGGCAGTGTGCAAAGAGGCTTGCACTTTCCTACACGTCCTCCTTACTTCCACCACTGCTGAATCACATCCTCCATTCTGGTTGTTTCCTTTGTCTCTCTGAAGGCCATTCATTCTTCCCTCTGCAGCTTCTGATCTTCTTGATCGCGCCGTCCTCCCACATCTAAATTCTGCTGTAAATTGAGAGGCCTGAGTGGGATTGGGCTTCATATAGCTGACAGACGCACAATTATACAGGACCATTTTGACCACAGTCACACTATGGGGGTGAGATTTGAGGTTTGTTACGTCGTCTCTCTGTTTGTAGTTGTTTTCCTGTCTTTGTCGCTTACATCTACAATAATTTCTCCTGCTCCATTTTTCCACTGCAGAAAGGTTGACACTGTGAACCAAACTGCTATGATGGTTGCTCCACTGGTCAGAGTAACTCACCTGCCTGCACTGGTTTCTGACATAACCTTCTGCACCTGCAAAACCATATGGATTGATAATTATTCTCATAAAATTTGAAAAAGTATACAGTCTTGGTTTTCGTTATGCCCGTTTTCAAACCTGTGTGTATGGTGTGGGAGGGGTGTTTTCCTGGGCTGCCCTACTTGGCTTAAAACTTTCCTTCAGGGTCACAGCTGGAACAAAATGCACCTCCATCTAATTTCTTCCACTCATTTCTTGCCTTTACAGCATAAAGGTCACCAGTGAGTTTCTTCTTTCTCCTCTGATTCATCTTTTCCTTCTGTTGGTAGCTTGCTTCCTCTCATATTAACCCTGCTCCTTGCCTCTTTGTTTTTCATCCCTGTGTCACAGTTAAGTCTCCATCTCTGACCAGTTCCGAATGTCCTCTCTTCCCACCGTGGACAAACACAGACTCTGCATTTTTTCCTTTTAGTTGCAGTCAGTGTTTGCACTTTTCTTTCTCCCCTGCCTCCCCTTTGCCTCCCTTCTCCATGTCAAACATGCTTTCTTGAAATGACAGCAAAAAAACCTATAGCAGCAAAGCTCTATAGTGCATCAACACAGGTAATGTTGCAGACCTGTTAAAGATAGCTTGTGTTATCAAAGCAACTCAACGCAGCCTGACTGTCTCAATCCAAGCTGGACTGACTAATGTGGAAGGTATTTGCTGAGACTACAAACCTCTGCCGACATTGGGCTCTGGAATTCTAATTCACATGAGAAACGCCCAAGTTCAGTCACACCAGATCTCGCTGCTGCGGCCTATTCTTTATTTTTACTCCCGCCATTTCACTCCATCCATCATTTACGCATGCTTAGTTCCAAGTAGTGCAGAAGGAGATTGGGTGGCAGGCGAGGTCGTACAAATGGTGGGAGGGCAGCTAAATCTGGGTTGGCAATTCAAGAGTTTGGGTTTGGAAGGGATCAAAGAAGCGGGCCACACAGGTTTAAACCTAAACCATAAAGGTCTGCGGGAGGAGTTTAAATGTATTATCCTGAAGAGTACTGAGCGTCTCTGAAAATTCTGTGTTATATAGACAGAAGGCACTTCTTCACCATTTCAATCATGTGCCATTAAAAGATACCAGAAAGCTTAATTTGCGCAGAGAGAGCTGCATGTCCTACCTGTGCAAAGCAAAACAAGCCACACAATTTCTCATAAGGTTTCCTCAGATTCCACAGGTTCCTCCCAGCTCACAACGGGCTGACTTTTGGAAATGTGGCTTTAATGTGCTACTGATTTGAAAGAAACCATCATGACATCATCCACTTCAGACTGTGACTTATAAAAGGACATTAACCAGAAATCCATGTGCAATTAAACAACAGAGAACTAGTCTCATTTCTCCTTGCAGGAACGTACATGCTTGTTTGTTAAAAGGGCTTCCGTTTCCATGAGACATCTCTCCTGAGAAAAGCAATTGCCTTTCTTTGAGAACTCCGAGCAATCAGTCTTCTACAACACAATTTTACAAGGCCCAGCTCTCTGGAAACGCTGCAGCACAGGGAGGTCAAAGGACAGAACATGGAGGACGCTTTACAGTTTAATAATACAGTCCAACAGAATGCAAAGAATATGTAAAAATGTGTTGATAGTTCTGCTGCTGTAGGAGCAATCTCTATTGCATTAGGTAATGATTAACAAAATAAAAGTTTGATATTCAAGTGCTGGAGGATAATCACAAACTTTACTGCCTTATTATTTAGGTGTGGGCTGGAGAAAGAAGCAGACAAACCCAAAGCTGTGTCTGCAAACTATCCGATTTTATAGCCAAGGAACTAATAATTCAAAGAGTGGTAACAATAACCCACTGTCCTCGATCACAGCTCTGTATCTGCAAATAATTTCAAAAAAATCTACATGAGGGCAATTTGACCTGCTCCTTCTGCATATATATTACTTCTGTCTAATCACACATACAACAGAACTGGCTTGTCAGTATATGTAACAGGACAACAAAGAGTGTGTGAAGAACACTGAAGAACAAAACTTTGCGTGTGAGCAGGTGTTGCAGAAATGTCTTGCCTAGTCACATATTACTTAGCATATCTAACACATTACTCATAGCATATTACTCATAGTTCGCAGCTCATTGCACATCGCGTACAGTGGAACCTGCGACTCCTCCTTTTAGCCCTGCACGATCTACCAACAAACAAGAGTGCCAGGCCGGGACAGGTTAAGCCCTGGTCTTTTCTCTTTGTGCTCTGAGCCAACACCAACCGTGCACTTATACAAGCAGAGGAGGAGAAAGGAAGGGAGAAGTTACACCAAAGAAAGAATGGGGAAGAAAATAAAGGGAGGCCAAGAGCTTACAATGATCAACAACTCATGACTCAAGACAGATATTTGAAAAGCACAGCTCAAATGGCCTTCATGATAGATCAGACGTCTTAGCTGTAAACAGGACAGATAACACAAGAGAAGGAGAGCGGAAAGATGGACTTCTGTGAGCACGGGATCGGGGGTCGTTCAGGTGGTCTGAGCCCGAGCTCAGTTTCAGCCAATTTGTGTTTAAGAAATCAGTAAACTACTCCTTAGCTCTAGAAATATTATTTCAGATTTCTCAATTAAGAGGTTCAAGGTATGTTTAAAATATAGAGAACTGCACATCCATTCATATAACACCAACAGTTGTTAATTTGGCCCTGGCAGGGCAGAGCGTGACTGGTGGAGAGCATGCCAAAGAAATCACTTAACAGTTGTATTTGCTGCTTTTATTAGGCCTTTTAGATGCCGTTACAAAAAACAGTTGAAGAGACATACAGGTGAGCTATAAAAGTAGAGAATAGATATGTAGAGAAAACAGAGAAGTGGATCAGTGAGTAGGAGAAGCTAAAGAACATAATGGTAGATACTAGCTAGAATAGCATTCAATGTTGAAAGATTGATTCACATATGAAGTGTTTGGTTTAATATAACATGGAAATTGTTCAAAAAAAGCAAAACTCAGGACTGTTTTCATATAGGTTCATGATCAGTATAAGTACAACCTCCACGTTGTTGTTACATGGCTGAGGCAACCTCGCATAAGCTTCAGGTTGGCTTGATGATTATTTGGGAGGGTGATGTGGGTGGCAAAAGGGTGGGATGCAGACATCGAGAGCTGACTGACCAACCCAAACCAGATGTTAATCCCAGACTTGTGACAGCAAAATGGAGAGGCTTATCAAGTTCAGCAGCCTGTGGATGTTCCCATAGATGGAAATAAATAGCTCAGAGCTTTCTGAAAAGCTGAGGGGAGCTGTAACCGCACAGCAGTGCAGACACACAGACATGAGCTGTCAACCCTGTCTCCATCCTCCCTCCAGCTTCACCACCATCACCAACACAGACAAAACAAGGGATGAACATGCCACTAAACACTAGACCATTATATAGCACATGTCTGTCAAGAGCTTGTGGCTTTAACACAGAAAACCAGTGCCTCACCAAAGTGGTACATTCCACACACACACACACACACACACACACACACACACACACACACACACACACACACACACACACACACACACACACACATACACACACTCTGAGGAGATGAGTTCTCACATTTGTTAATGTTTAATCATAATATTCTGGTCTTTAAGTTCCATTATGTGTTTAATTCATCTAGTTTTAAATAATGTACAGTATTTAGTGATCACTTTATTGCCTCTAACTTGATCTATTGAATTGGGCTGGATTAATACTTTCATTGGCCAATTCTTTTAATCTGTTTACTCATTCAAATATCATATGAATTTGTTTATGAATTAAACAGTGTGTAAACTCTTATTTATTCCTGTTTGATTAGTCCAATTATATGCAAATGAATGGACTGACATGAGATTTGTGGTCATCCATTTCTCATGCTATTCAGTTCCAATCATTACAAAATAATGGCAATGACAAAGGGAGAATTTATAATGACAGCTGCAAACGTGTGTTACTGATATGATTCATTTTCCGACAGCTCATTATTTTTTCAAAGCCCAGAGGGGGAAGGAGACAAAAAAATAATACAGCAATGCGGTTCTCTGGTTACTACAGCAGTGGAAAAATCTATCTGGTTTCTTGGAAACGTATTCTTTACTAAAATTGCATGCAAAGAAGAATGGTCTGTGGAGTGAAAGTGGATGTAATAGGCCTATCTTGAGAAATGCACTGAATGTGGGAAGTAGGGACATTCTTGGCAGGACCCCTGGCAGACAAAATACAGAAGAAAAATGGGAATAAGCGCTGCACACATATTCATATCGAATTTCCATAAACAAATATTCAGCTTCCCGAGACTTCTGTAAAGTCCTGCAAAAGTTAAGCAGCCTACTTTGCAGCAAGCATGATAGTGTTACCTCTTGTGTTCCGCCACGGTGCAAGTTAAATGTCCCATTTTAACATATTCTGGTTTGCATCTGCATAAATAAAGGTGGTGACAGCCTGCTCTTTTAGTGTTGGGCACATGCATGGAAATCCATCTGCTTCATTTGACTTTGAAAGAGAAACTATGATGTTGCTTCCGAGCTGTCCTGAGCACTTTTCACCTGATTGCAAACACGTTTTGTGTCATTTTGACGCGCAAATGAACACTTAATGCAGGGTTCCCATGATTATATGAATTACTAAGTTACTGCCATTGGCGCAAAACACACGAGATATTAGTAAGAAATTCACAACAGACATAACATCGGTAATTCTCACTGACAACAGTAAAGTTCCCAAATGGAAGGCAGGTCATGCTGACGTATAGTTGGTACCTGGTGTCGTTTACTTACCAACTAAAACACACAGCACGTCCATCACCACATATAGCTTCTTCTTGTTCCGCTCGTCCATTTTCTTCCCGGGCATTTCAAATTAAACAACTACTTTTTGAAAAAGGTGAAAAAGTCCATCGGTGCTCGCTGGCTTCGGAATAAACCTACAGGTTATGCAAACCACCTGGTGACCTGCGCCACGAGCTCTTCCGGGATCCTCTTCACTGCCCGTGTTAACATTGACAACATAGGTGTGTGTGGCCTTCTTAAAAGGACAGCGTGTTAAAAACCAGTTTCTGACCAGATACGCGTCGACAGTGGAGTAGCGCGTCCCTGTGTGCGCATCGCTGGTTTCGGGTACAAACTGAACAGATCCTCCGAACTTACAGCGCTTGGGGCGTCCTGTAAAATCAGCAAAACCTCTCCTCTCCGCACACACCACGCCGGTTCCTCCTCCCAACTTCCTCGTCTGGCTCCTCTATGGCTATCTGATCGCCAGGCTCGAGGGCTTTTTACGCACAGGCGTGCAAAGAGGCGTACAAAGTGCAAGAGAGCAGACCTCTCCTCGATTAACTTTCTATGTCTTTTGTATAAAGAGGACTCACAAACTGTAAAGATCAGACCATGATGAGGTTCCTGGGAGCAGCAATGCGCTGTCGGCTCAAAAGTATCCCTGAGGCATAAAAATAAAAGAGGAAACAAATGACTGTTAGTACACCTGATCTCATTATCTGTAAGTAATCCGGATTTAGCCAAGAACACGCAGTCCTCGACTAAAGACATGTTTGACCCCATTTCTGATGGACATAAGGTAAACACTTGAGCTGCTCGGTTTTGTCGAGAACTTAACCTTTTCCCACTCATCTCCCACTTATGAGAGAGATTTATGTTGAAGGATTAAAAACAACTCAGGCTCTAAATAAGGTCCAAATGTAGTTAAAGAAAATACAGAGGACAACCCTTCCAGCCCAACAAACAACATGGAGACTTTTTAAGCCCTGCTGGGACTGCAGCTAAATGAGTCTGACTTAGCACCAGCATGACTCCAGGCCACAGTGTGTGGATGTCAACACAAGGCCACCGCTTTCTGGCTGCATCCAGCACTTCACTTACTTTATTCAGTCACTTTAGTGTGTATTAACATTTAACGCTGTTTGATTGACAAACACCGTGTTTACCCCCATGTCTATTATTTCGGCACCCTTGAGCTAAGTAGATAATCTTACACCTACACACTAGTTGTATCTGACGTTCTGCACATTTGAAAAAGTATTAAACATTACATAGATTTCTGTTGTATACTGTCCAGCTGCAAATTAAAGCCTGATAGCATGCAAATGAAGCATCCCAGAGAAATATCTAGATAAGAGGAACAGTGTGGATAGTTAAATGTAAAAAATGAGATTTCTCTGCCCCCTCCTGGTTGTTTCTTAAACATTCTTTTATGGACCCCCAAACTCTTCAGTAAAAAGCCAAAAATTGGACTTTTCCAAAGTCAACATCTTCCCCCAGTTTACAAAGCCAGGTACAGAAACAGGGATACGATTCCCAGATTCATTCACATAATCTACAGGATTCACAAATGTGATCCTAATCCATATGGGAATGATTTAGAGTTTTACAGTTGATTTATATTACATTTTAGCAAAATCACCTGCTTGGTTACATAAAAGAATCTTTCTAGTTAATGTTAAGCATAGCCCCTAAGTCAGGTGACTCTGCAGTAGTGAGCATGTTGCTCTAAATATACTCTCAGCCCGGAAGAGAATGGTCTTTGGTCCAGTAAAAGTGGTGACAGCAATAGTTCCCACTGAAGTAAGACACACATGCGATTATTGATTCTACGCTGTTCTAGGCCACGAACTGGTGCTAATATTCCCCTTATGGGGTGACCTGAACTTTTTGAGGGTCTGCTCAGATAAAGATAATTCAAGTAGCAGGTGCTAAAGGTTGATATACATTATTCATCAGTATCTTTTAGCTTGGCTGTTTCATTCCAAAAAAGATTATTACAATAATAAATTGCGGATAAAAATGCTTTAGGGGGCACAGTGCAGAAACAAAAGACAAAGTTTAATCAAACAAACCCATGTGTTTTTCTTCAGCTATGTATTCTCATACAGTTCATTTTATTACTATATTTTATGCATACATTTCCCAGAAAGAAGCTTTGATAGTCTTCTTTATCATAGAGCACAGTGCATTAGTTATTCCAGAGGTTCAAGTGTCAGCTGCAGGGTCAGGAACTGGAGGCCAGATATTCAGTTTGCTCCTGGCAACAAGAAACAGCCGGCAAAAAAAAACAACCCCCCCCCCCCCCCAAAAAAAGAAAGAAAGTTTCTACATTTGTTCATTAACCTTTGTGGCTTACTGGCTGGCTGTGGGCTGTGGGCTTTCTCAAGAGATTTTCAATGCGAGCCTGAACTACACTAAAAAGAATGGTATCATTAGCAGTGATCCCTACCACAATCACAAATCCACACAGGGTCTCAATAACATTTTTAAACCCATAATCAGTGGAAGGGACTCTGTTTATCTGGTCTCATAAACAGTATTTCAGGCAGTGAAAACAACACAACTAGCTACTGCATGTAAAACTGCACTTTTATTAAAACAAATCCATTGTATTTGAGTTTGTCTGCCTTTTAAGAAATATATGCTATCTGCAGAAGAATGAGAATGTATTCACATTTTTTTTACCTGATCTCTCAGATGCATCTTAAGTTGCCATTTTGTATTTATTCTCCTGAATAAACAGCTTGTGTAATTACAGCGTAGCTAATCAGGCCGAGAAACCTGGCCTGGAGAACAGGAGGCCAGATCAGATAGAGGGACAGTTACGTCACATGAGGGCTTTCCCGGCTCTACCACGCTCCACATGCACATTCTACTCTCTCATACGACTTCTAAATAATGAAAATGTGTTCATGTAGCTGAAACTCTGATATCCAGATACTGTATAGCTAAATGAGTACAGTACTAGTGCAGAATGGCCACAGCTTCAAACTAAACTACATGCCTTGCTACCAATCAGGCAGGCACATTAGCTTCTCTGGGTTTATCTAGTCATTGTAGTCATTTATCATTACACATGATAACTAAATGCCATACATTCCAATTTGGAAAGTGTACTGATACAAAAATGAACTGATAGATCACTGGACCTTTGCTTACCTACAGTAATGATGAGGGCACAAACCAGAGTGTTCCTTTCTGAATAGTCATCCCTTAACAATCACATGGACACCTGACAGTACCTTGTTCAGATGTCTGGATCTGGATTCTTGTCCTGCAGGAATCCTGGCCTCTACACATACATACAAGAACCATATTTGTTATGTCATCTTACAATTTTTCAAAGATTGCAGCGTCTATAACATAAACTATTGGTTATTACCTACAGTAGCTGTCGCAGTAGTGCAGCTCGTCACCCAACACCGTGTGGACTTCACCTGTACCACAACACAGTGTGTTTATTAAAAATCCCATGTAGTCCTCTCTCTGGCTGTGTACTGATATTTGTTATAAAAAGATTTAACAGAGACCTAATTCCAGTGTTATTTAAAATATTGTTGCCCTATACTCAACAAATATACTTTTATTTTTATATATTTTTAATATTTAATCTTATTTTACTATTTTCACATCGGCTTATACACAAGACACTGAAAAATGATGTTGTCTTCATCACATTTTGTCAAGCAAGTGAGTGTTAACAGTCTATATTGCCTGTATGGTGTGTGAGGCACAACACAATGTATGAGCCACGTATATGTGTGTGTTTAGACCTACTTGTTGCGTCATTCTGGTTCTGATAGTAGAGGTGGTACTGGGTGATGAAGCCATGCTGCTCATGCACAGGCTTCCACACCAGGAGAACTGCAGTCGTTCTGCTTCTTCACTTGCAGTCTGCGGCCAGTAGAGGGCGCCGGAGAGCCACGCAGGGGAGAGTAAAGACAGACAACAAAAGAGAGGATAGGGTAAAGTGGTGACACTGACAGGAAGGAAGACAAGACATTTGTTGCTGCAACAAATCAACTAATAACTTGAGTGATGAGTTTTGAAAACCCTTAATTTAACTTCATCCAAAAAACAGTAAAAAGTGGTGATATATGAAATGCTTTTAATCGGCTGACAGAATTGCTATGTTTTCCCTTCCTTCTTATTTCCCTTTCTCTATAATGAAGGCACAGGCAAAAATCTTAAAACTACTTAGTAAATGCATGTCACTTGACCCATTAACATGCCTTCTGCTTTAAATAATACTTAAACGCATAGCAAAATTAACAAAGGTTTGATTGGATTTTAAAGCACATACAGTACGTGTGCTATATATGCTACACTGAGTTGGGCTTAAAGTTAGGATATTCATCATACATCTGCAGGCACATTACCTTCTGGTTTGGTGTAAGTCAGTGCTGAAACTACTTGACTGCCAGATAGTCACAATATATTGCAGTCAAACTTCAAATCTGCAATTACAATCAGAAAAGCTATATTCAAACAAAACTATCCTGCATGGAGCAGTCAGTCACAAGCTTAGTGCCACATTTACATTGCAGGCTGGCTGATGTAAGCAGCTGGTGAGATGAACATTTACACAGTGAGCAATTAAGTAACAGAGAGCGCTACTTACATTATGTCTCAGATTTCGTGAAGAAGAGATTATAGAGCTGTTCTGGAGATAACATAAAGGAAAATGCTACACAGTTTAAAAATATAATTGCACTATTCATTCCAGTTTAAGTAAGACAAAAAAAATCTGTAAACCCTGACAATTATTCAGATAGGAAAAAATTAAATAAATTAGAAATGCTTCCCTCTTGGAATATACAATATAAATATAAACAATATGTATGTGACAGGTTATTTTTTTCATAGCAATCACACCAAAATCAGTGTTTGTTGTGTTCAAGTGAGTATTGCATTTTGTAGGAATTCTTTAGATGTCCACTTGTTAAAAAACTCAGCATATTGCAATCATCGAAACGAAGTACTACATTTCTACAGGGTAATATTTACTTACATACTTGATTATATAAATGAGCACACTCGTAGTTAATCTGAATGCACAGCAGGTAGCTAAAACCACATGCTGGGCTGTCTGACACATCTGTAAAGTAGTGGAGTGCAAAAGAAAGTGTAAGTGAAAGTGTTGCTCATGCAAATAGCAAATTTCCAATGAAATTATGGATCAGGAACACTTGGTTTTGTCAAAATAAAGCCTTATAAGGGATATGTGGGGTACCTTTCTGTTTTGCACTGTTGCTTGCATCAATGGATGGATTACCAGATGGGCCTACCTGGCACAGGCCCAGAGGTCCAAGAGCTTCACAGGGCCCCTGGGCTTGTGACTGTATGAAATGACACATTAGTTAGTCTGAAACTCATAGAGGTCAATTAAAAGGCAGAAAACAACCATCAAGACATGAACACTTGACCATGAAAGGATAATCATCTTTTCTTTAGGATAACCACCTTTATTTGGCCAAGTATGTTACACACAAGGAATTTGTTTCAGGTACAGAACCAATGGCAGCCATCTGCAGCACCAACTCAACCAATAGCTCTAACCATTGGGTCAACTGTGGGGTTCAGTGTCTTGCCCAAGGACACTTCGACACATAGACTGCAAACACTGAGATTTGAACCTTCAACCTTCTGGTTGGGAGACAACTGCTCTCCCCACTGAACCACTGTCACCTCCTCTTGTGCCAACATCAAGACTAAACAATGAAGACAATGCACACAAAACGACTACAAAGGATATGACTATGTGTGTATAGAGGCCCTATTGTTGGAGGGGTGGGGGGCCTTTAACCTGTCTGAGCCTTGCGGCTCATTGCCTCATAATCCATCCATGTTTGCAGCTACCACCTGTCTTACTTTATACAAGCAGGTTTTTGTGGGTGTGCTAGAAATGACCTTTAGTATCATTTTAGCTAAGTACAAGTAGCCTCTGCCTGAAACTGTAAATAATAGATCTTACATATTAGCTTCTAAAGTACCAGAGAGTGTGAGCAAGAGAGTTCTTCCCTGGGGCGCAGTGGCACCTTGCTTTATCATAGATGATGAAGACAGAGGTGGGCTGACTGGGGCTTGGGAATAAACCTGTTGGGAACAGAGAAACGGTGGAAATAACATTTCAGCAATGTCTCTAAATGTGAACAATACAGGATTTTGTGCTTTTCCAAACCATAAATGCAACAATAACAAGGTTTTAAAAACTTAGTGCAGGTAAAATCACACCCATCAGTATGAATTTAAAATCTAAGTGATTATCCAGTTCTCACCCTGACATAAAGTTCTCCTCATTTTTCGACGGGAAAGCGGTGGTCAGTGCAGATTCAGGTACAGGTAACAAACATTAGTGAAAGAGGCATGGTAAAATCCACTTCCTTGCTCTCCACTCCACTTCTGAGTGATAGCGCCACCCAGTGTGTTTTGGAGAAAATGCTGATGGACAGTAGTTTGTGCATGTCATTACAGTGACCAAAGCCAGTTCGCCTACAGGTATCTGTGATTCATTATGCATCAGTAAATACAGTATTAGGAAGTTATTTACAGCAAATATTTGCTTTTTAAATCTGCTTGCATCATGCTGTTTTGAAAAGTGCTATTTCTATATGTATTATTATTAAAAAGGAAATCCCCCCCCACACACACACATTTTAAAAACATTAGGTATGGCAACAGTGTCAATGTGCATCTTACAAACGAGCAGGCACCACATTAGTCTTTAAACCGATACGATGAGAAACAAGAGTTTCTAATATCACCAATTATCATTATTCATTTTATTCTTTTTTCAAAATATAATAATTATAAATGAACACAACAGAAACAGTACAATATAGAAATTCCAAAAAATAAAAGTAAAGATAAAGAATTAACAAGAGGCAGTGATTCTTCTTCTTTTCCTGCCTTCATGGTCTTTTCCTGAATCTCCACTAATGTAAACAATTAAAAAACAAAAACATTGATCTGAGACTGGCTTGGCTTTAAACAGTGACCACAGGAAAGGCTTACATGTTTATAGACAAAATAAAGAATAAATAAAAGGACAGCTGGACGGAAGAACATGGGGAAAGACAGCAACAACCAACACAGTCCTCTCCTTTCCTGTACCTTTTCCTTTACATCTTTAAAGACAGTGTGACTGAAATATACCAACATGCAGAAGGAAATACCACATATATATGTATATATGAATTAATACACTAATTCATTAAGTTGGGAAATGACTAAAAATTTATGAAACTCTTTATAGTGACTGCCACCTTAGAGCCCCTAGTAAATTATCTGAATCTCATGTGGTTTTGAAAATAAGTGAAATACTGTCAGAAAGTGAAAGTGCAGTGAGAATATAAAAGTTTGTCACTCTCAAAATTCATTTGACAGCTTGACAGCATGTGAACAGAGGATTTGTTACACAATGCTTAATAAAAGATGTGGACTATAAATAATAAATATTAGAAGTGTAAATGCACATGACATTTTTCAGTGTTATTTCACCATCCCTGGTACAGTCATCGCAGATTGGACGTTACGTGGTTTGCAAAAAGGTCCTTTTCATTTAACTGTGGTTCTCAAAAAGCAAAGCAGCTATGTGGGGTCTGTTGCAAGAGGTTGAGTTATCTGAATAAAAACCAGAATACTCTCACATCTGGAACAAAAGCCTTGCTCCACCTATTAATCACCACATTATTCTGGCACAACTGGTTCTTAGAGTAGGCCCCTGCATCTGACTGAATACAGGGAGTGGGATGATATTTGGACCCCAACATCTGTCATTACATACATTTTACCTAGACCAATATGGTCTTTGGAGGTGTCTTTATCCAAGAAACCCCTAATAATGTAATCACTTTCATAACTGTATGAACATATGACAACTGTCCTGAGTGACAGTGCTTGATTCTTGTTGTCCATTGAAGTTCAGTCACTGATTACTCAGAGATCATCAAAGTTGTAGGGTCATATCTTAGCAAGTTCATTTTACATTTACAAATTGTTATTTGAAGCCTTTTCTGCATGTCAAACAGGCTCTTCACGGTACTAAATATCCACCGTGATAGAAATGGAGATCAGAAATGATGAGAAAGCACTGCACCTTTATAAACCTCTATCTAAAGCCTCAGTGAAGAACAAGGATGAAAACTAAAAAAAAACAACAAAAAAAACAAAAAACAAAAACAGCGACACTATTGTGCTCCTTATTGCTCCTATGCTGCTCCATGTTCAAATAACCCTTATAAAATCCTCTTTAGTTTCAGGTCTTCATATTCAAACTAAATTCCCAAAAGCTTACAGACAGATGGAATCGGGCTAGAGGTTCAGAGAAGCACAGATATATGGAAAGCTGAAAAGAGAGAGACTCAGCAGAGGACATGTCAAATGAGCTATTCTATACTGTTTGAATGGACAGATTCCACTCTGTCCAGACATCCAGTTATCACGTCACTGTGGCACTGTTCAGAAACAGATCTCAAACAGCTGCTGTGGCGAAAGTGCTAAGCAATATGCCTCTGATTGGCTATTTTTGGAAGAAGTTGGGAAAAAAATCTCAGCAGCATTCAAACATCTCCATCTTGGTAAATAAGAACACAAGGCAACAGTTGTTCATGCTGTCACAATGAACTGTTTTAGAAAAAATGGACTGCTAGCCACTTGATTCTGGTTTGTTTGCATGGACACTGTAGCACTCCTCACCTGCCTTTGCTTTAGCAAGTATGTATTCATGACAGCCATTCAACAGCATTGCCCTGGTGCAAGCTGTGGTAATAAACTGTTAATAATACCTGGAAACAGTGATTTACACTTAATTGAATTTGACACAGGAAAAACCACAAAGAGTACCACTTAATATAACTTGCTCATGACCCGTCATTGCGTGAGAGAGTAGGGATGTTGGATGGGAGAGGGGTGCAGCAGGTTGCCAAATGCCTGGAAGTGTGATGGGAGGACAACAGATGATGGAGGTGAGGTAGACGGCGGGCTGAGCTCCACCTGCAGCCCATGGGGAGCACCAGTCCCATCACCTGCTGCAACACAGTCAGGGCCTTCTGAAACAAAAGGTTGACCACGCATGTGTATCTGGTAGAAGCAGGTAGATGGGAGGCGGTTATCATCATGGCTGGACGGAGGGCTCCTGCTGGGCCACTGGGAGCTCTGGGCAGAGGGCTGGGCCTGGGGATGGACCGGAGCTGAGGGACAACAACTGTCCGAGCCAGGATCCTGCAGAACATTCATGGGCGCCAAAGAGAAGGGACAACCAAACAGCTGCTGAGGACATCCGTCACTGTATAGCTCTGACAGCCCCATCACCAGCTCACAATCTGGACAGATGTAGAGGAACAAAAATGTCTGTACCTGCAGTCATGTCATCTGTTACTGCTGTATTTGAAGTTCCTACAATGTTTAGTGACTAGTTACTTAGTGCTGCTCTGCTATGAGACATCATCCAGGGACACACATCAAAATGTCTCTTAAATTAACAGCGTGTATTTACATAAGGCTTTCTAAGTTGCCCTTTCTTGCTAAAACCATGTAACCCACTTATAGAGTGACATGTGGGTACTGTATGTATGTTGTTTAGTGCATGTTTCATTTTGTTGACTGCATGTTGTACTGTGTTTATGTATATGTGTGGTCCAACAACAAATCAACTACTAAAGTTCTTGGTAAATAAAAGTAATTCTGTAATGTGTAATTGTGAACTAGGATTAAGATTAATGTTTAATTTTATTGATACAGGAAAGTTACACTTTATTACATTTTGAGCAGATATAACTGTAAAGATCAAACACATTTAAGATGGCAAGGGTTAAAATATCTAAAATAACCTATAAATGAATGTGTCATGATCAATTACATTAGTCCTGTCCCGTTTGGCTCTGTTTAGATTGTGCCACATGTAAATTAATGAGGTTTACTCTCAAAAACCAAATGATTTCTTTTCTCTCTCACTCTTCCTGTTGTCTTTACCTGCAGGCCCAGCCTGCTTTCTGTGGCCTGTGTGGATGAGATCATGGCTTTAAGAGAAAGCGGGGAGTTCGTCTGCGCCGGGGACGGCCCTCCTCCTCTGTAGCACCGTGTCAACATGCACAGAACACACACACACACACACACATACACGAATACAGATACAGACATGCATTCGTACATGCACAAACACAGCAACACAAGACACAAGAAGCAAAATAATAATGGGGAAAACAAAGGAGGCTGAGACATAAAATGACTGATAAAATAAGATAAAGAAAATGTGATGTCAAAATAGAAACAAAAAACCATGTAATCAAAATAAGAAATTCAAGAGACGAAATGAAATCCATAGAACTGCATGTACAACATGGTGGATAGATCTGGAAAATGTGTCTAACATGTTACTGTACGTAAACACTTTACAGTAAATACAGAAAAATCGGTGGAGATCCACTTCCTTCTGATTTCAGTGTTACCAGAAACCAAACCCAGTCCTCCGTTATTTTATACTGTATTTGCCAAATGTTGGAGTGAAGTGCTCTATGAGGAGCTTCCACAAGCAAAACTCTAATTAAATAAGCAATATGTTCTAAACCTTCACTGCACGTGTGCTTCTTTTCCAGCTAGTTCTGTCTTTGCTATGAGATCATCAAAATAACATTTTAGGGCATCATATCTGTAACACTTAGCCCAGTATTAACTGCACATTATGTTATAAGAGACAAATGTACTCTACCATGGCACAAAGTCCATTTGATGCTGAGCAGAATGAACACTGGCAACAGCTTCCAGGATTTGAGCCATCATATCATGTGCTTGTAAGAGACTAAGTCACCTTGTTTGTCCAGGTCCAAGCTCGACTGTGGAGGTACTGGAGACTCTATGTACTCAGACAACAAGCCTAAGGAACTGTTGCTTTGCTCCAGCTCCCTGACCTCCCCATCCTGGTCTCCATCCTCCCTGCAATACACAACACAATCACTGTCACCATAAGAAAGCATGTGTCAGCAATAATATGAAGAGCAAAAGAATAACACAACCTTAAGTGAAGTTAGCATTATTAAACTCAGAATACCAGGAAACAGTCATTACAATTTCCTAATATCAACTGTCATGCTGGTTTACTAAAGAGCTTTATTTTGTTGAACTAAATCTATCCCTACAATTTCTGCTGCTAATATGTTTTGGTGTTCAAAGAAGCAAAACATACATTTAAAAAGAAATCAGCACAGGAGCACTTACAGTACAAATATAAATTCCCTGTTAAGAGGCATTACTTCAGGATAGTTCCCAAAAGACTTGCTTACAGAATGTGATACACTGCAGAAAACAAGCCAGATGAATAGGGATATTTTAACGAGGAGATATCCTGGTGTGGATTACTGTTTTGGATTGTTTTTGTTGTGTAAAATAAATAAAGTGTTTCTTAAAGGCCTGGTGAAAGAGGTTCTCAGAATATGACTGTTTCAGATATGCACATACAGGAAATACTCCCTGCAGGTGCAGACTAAACACAAGTACAGTCCTAAGACACGAAGAGAACATATCTTTGTATGTTTTAGATGACTCACAGCCTAAAACCTTCTGCCTCCTTTTCATGATTTTATGTTCTCTATCAGGTTTGCAGCACACTGAACAGCAGAAATGACAGCAGTGTGGGATTTTCTCTGAGATCAGTAAGGGTCAGACACACATCATATGATGATAAGTTGGAAATATTCCCCATCTACTGTAGCAAATGAAACTGGCCTCTTCACAGCCCATAAGTAGGCACAAGACAGTCTGTCTGCGTGTTCACATGCCTGCTGACAAACCACGTATGTTTTGGATCAGGCGCTCAATGTACACTCACCAGCCACTTTATTAGTATGTACTTCAGTGCAACACTTCTGCCTTGACATATGTGTTTATGTAGCTCAAAATGCTTTAGGTTTGGGTGAAATTGTTATAAATGTATAAATTCTATTTTATGTTTGTTATTGAGGTCATAGTAAAAGATGGCGTTGTACTGGACAATGATATATTGAGAAGTCTTCCTAATATTCTGATCCTGTCATGTATGAAGCTGATACTCACACGCTTCCTGACTGTAGGCTGTACTTCTTGCGGCTGAGCCTGGTGGTCTGCTGGGTAAAGTACTCGTGCCGGTCAGATTTCTTCCACATGTAATAAAATTCCACACACTCACCCACAGAACGCGTTCGGACCTGAGGAGGCATGAAAACATCATTTTTGATTTGAGTGACAAAAAAAAGTGTCCCTTCAAAAATTCAGATGAGTACAGGGTCAGGTTTGTTAATGTGTCAATTTCAATTTATTTATATAGGACATTTATAAACAACAACTGACTAAAGTGCTTTACAAAATAACACACTATGACAGATTAATATAACAAAACAATAGAGGAAATAAAACACTAAAACCACAGTTCTACTTAGAAGAATACCAGTATCTCTATATGTATGGAAAAAGAAATTTATAACAAAAACAGGATCCAGTTTACAGTATCCAAAATTTTAAAATATAGTTGTCTAAAACTGTATTACAAAGTAAACAATTGGAAATCAGGAAAAAAAACATTTAAAAACAAACAAATTGCTTAAATAAATCAAATCTGCAACAGTCAAACTGAGACAAACGCCTGTGCGTAGCAAAGGCAGCTGGAATTGCAAAAGCACGGTCACCTCGACAACAAAGATTCAGGAAAGATTCAACAGGAACAAATGTCAGCATCCTAAGCTCTTACCTTATTTGCCTGAATGAGGTGGAAGTTTTTCCCGTAAACTCGATAGCCATGCTCAAAGTTTCTACACTCCTCCTCACTCCAGGCACACAGCTCATCTAGAAGGTAGCGAGATTAGGATAATATATCTATTTTAACATATGTAAATGTATGTGATGATGGTGATCTAAACCACATATAACTTAAAAACCATGTCTGTCTTAAAAAAAGTAACCATAACATTTTTGTTTTTAATTTGTGTCCATTCTGCAGTCCTAGGAGGAACTACAGCTTAAACTGGAGCCTCTGTGGTGAATATGAGGTCACATCACTGAACTCTTCCTCCACTGCATTGCTGAAATCAGCAGCTGGTGTTACAGTTATATTTTGCTATATTCTCTAATGGAAAAGGTTTTCATAGGGCTGATGTGTCACACACAATATCACTGCACTTTGCAGTTTATAGACTCAATGACTGCCTTCAGTCTACATTCTCCTCATTGACTCGCTTACTCCAAAGTCATCAGTTTGCTTCTGGCAGATATGATTTTATCTATGGGCTGTGGAAGGTTTATTTTGATGCCCTGCAACTGCTGATCTCACTCACAAAATTTCTTAAATATGCATAAATGCATACAAAGTCTATGATTTTGAATTAGCAATTTTCAGAGCCTTTGTTAGTTAAACATTTCCTTCACATCAACAGCTTCAACAAATGTTACACATGTTAATCAATAAACAGTCTGCAGATGAGCGAAGTACCTTTGCTACTGTGTGGATTCTTACACTGCGAGACTCAGTAGGCTACTTTGTACTAGGAGAGTTTAGCGTTTAAAGGCTCAGATGCTGTTTTATGAAAGTGACTGATTTTTCTTCAGTAGCCACCACAACCTACTAACATGTACAGAAAAGTGGAAAAAAGTAGGAGAGCAGGAAGGCTCTTACCACTGAACACTTTTACGTTGAAGCGTAATCGTCTCAGTGCTTCTTCTGCATTGAAGCTGCATTTCACTAGTTCATACAATGCCTGAGAGCCAAAAGAAAAAAAAAAGGAGAATGGAAACATTTTCCAAAAACAAGTCCGTTATTTTGGTGAATGTTGTTTGAGGGGACGTCCTCCTGTGGGCTCACCACCTGCAGGAGGATCCGTAAGGGGCCGGTGCACAGTGGCAGGGGCAGCAGTCGAAGGCAGGGCCCCCGACGACCCGATCTCTGGACACAGAGACTAGCCCTGGGGACATGGA